CAGACAGACAGATAGATGACAGACAGACAGACAGACAGATAGATGACAGACAGACAGACAGACAGATAGATGACAGACAGACGACAGATGACAGACAGACAGACGACAGAGATGACAGACAGACAGACAGACAGGCAGATAGATGACAGACAGACAGACAGACAGATAGATGACAGACAGACAGACAGACATCTACTCTCATGACTCTCATGAGCCGGTTCTTTTTGATGAATCAGTTTTGCGACTCATGAATCAGTCAGGGCGGTTCGAAAATGAACATGTGATCGACTCACTTCACTGACTAAACATCCGACTCATAACAAATTGAAATAAGTGTTAAAATTTTCTTTCAACTATTGTTTTGTTTATTAAAATAATCCTCAATGAGGACCTAGAATCACACTCAGCTGAACTGAGAGATCTGACATCACAATGAAGGGAATACAATGCAAACCAGAAGATTCACAGGGAGGAGAACAGCAAAGAAAAGGAGAGAAAGAGGAGGAGGAAGAGGATTTACTCTTCAGCCTGGATGGAATCAGACGGTGCCACGTAATTGCTGGGAATGTATCCACTCTCTCCCGTCGTCAGCGAGCGAGCCAGCCACCAGTCGCCTTCCCTAAGACGGCAGAAAACACACACACATAATACACCTGCAGTTTAACTCACATTCAACATATTTGGTGACACATTCAAGACGGCTTTTTTTTTTACCCGCCAAAAACAAACACCCTGAGATTACATCTGCGGTATTATTCCTGCTTTATAATCCATGAAATGAGCCATGAGAATGCAGACAAAGCTGCTCTAAAGACATTAACTACCTGCACTGCCAAATTATGCATAAATGAAACATGCATTTAAAGGGACAGTTCACTTCACCCAAAATAAACAGTCATTTACTCACCCTCATGTTGTTCCAAACCCATATTACTTACACTTACTACTGTATCTCATGCCTCTCATATGGAGTGCATAATCTAGATAGGGAGAGAGTGACAGATAGATAGATAGATAGATAGATATATAGATGGATAGATAGATCTAAGTCAATCTAAGTCTTTTTTCGAAGTCAATCTACTGCCGTATTTCCTCTCTCAATCAGTAGAAAATGTGGTTAACACCCGGTCATGCATGAAAAAAATACTGTTATATACTGTGAAACCGGTATAATTTTGAAAAATACCGTGATATAAATATTTGGTCATACCGCATTTATTAAAGGGGTCATATGATGCGATTTCAAGTTTTCCTTTCTCTTTGGAGTGTTACAAGCTGATTGTGCATAGATAAGATCCCTGAAGTTGCAAAGACTAAAGTCTCAAAACCAAAGAGATATTCTTTATCAAAGTTAAGACTCTGCCACGCCCCCCTAAAACGGCTCGTTCTAACACGCCCCCACATATCTACATCACTATGTGGAAATATTTGCATAATGCG